ATTTAACATGTTTTTATAAAGACAGAAATAAACATGAAGCAATCTTAGACTGTTATTGTCATTTTGTATACACAGAGTGTATACAAATAAAATTTCGTTTTGTACATGTTTCATGACATTTCAATTTCATAAAGTGCAGCAATGATCAAAAAAAAAAAGAATGGAAAAAAAACATGGTGCAAAAAATTATGCAGTCCTTTGGTTTGGCATTATCAGTTTGAAGGAAAGTTTGTGATATGAGTTCGCTGTCTGATGATGGTGGTGAAGAAGCTGTTTGGGATTCTGCTGCACCTGCATCCAATGCTACAACGCCTCTTTCCAGAGGGCAGCAGGGAGAACAGTCCATGGTGGGGGTGTGAGGGATCATTGATAATGTTACAGGCTCAGGACATGCAGCGCTGAAATTAAATGTCTTTTATGGAGGGAATAGGAGCCACGATGATCTTCTCTGCTGTTCTCAACACTATCCTCACCTTCTGCCAGTCTGTTCCATTGAGGAGATTTTTCGCGACCCAGTGTCTAGAGCATTTCAGCATTTCCTTTATAATTCTAATTTCCTGATTCTGTTCCTTGTCATCCACTGGCCCTGTCTGTCCCGTCTGATCTGTGTGCCTGAACCATCTTTGGACTCCTGATGGATTCTGCTTGTCTGCATCTGTGCGTTTCTGTCTGAGCGGATTGAAAAAGCTTCTTGGATGGGAATCGAAACGGCTTTAAAACTTGAAAACAAAGTCCACTGGATTGTTTTTAATATTTTCTTTTGGAATGGCTATGACCTGGATGACTGAGAATCTTCACCAGTGTGAAGCATTTAACTCTAAACTTGTCTCCCTCGGTGCATTTCTGTCTGAGCTGGTTGCTTGATGCATAGGACTCTGAACCTGTGGGTTCCTGGAACCTGTCCTTTCCTGTGTTGATTGGAACCCTTGACCAGACTGTGGACTATGGATTCCAAAACTACTCCTGTTTGATCGGTATCCCTGTCCTAGAACGGAGTCCTGTCTGCTTTCCTTCCCTAACATTATCATCAAACCATTCTAAAGCTAACATAATGGCAATTAACTCAACTTAACAAACTGCTAGATGATCTGTTGTTATCCTTTTAATTATGACTTTATGGTGTGAGACACAGCTGCTCCTGTTCTGTCACTATTTGGAGCTTTAGATCCATCTGTATACAGTATATAAGTATACTATATTTAGATCTTTCAAAAACAATTATTAACTATAACCCATTCTGGAGTCTTTCCCTTTTTAATAATTTCCCCAAAGTGCACAACTTCTGTTGTGATGAATAACCATGGGGAAATTGCTGACTGTGGAACCATAAAGCTAAACTGAAACTGAGTCGAACCGAAATTTTGAGCTTTTATGTCCCCAATCCATCCAAAACTTTTATAATCAGATTTATGATGTTCCCAACAGTCCTGAAGCACAGCCCTAGTTTTATAATCATAATTATAGCCCTGAAGATTTACCCAATACATTGTATTAGCTTCAATCTGCTTAATCTTAAGTGAAGCTCCCCAGTTAAAACTTGTAAAGGAGATGATCTGAAAGCTCCACAACATATTTGTAACCCTTGTGTTTATTTGCAATCAAGTTTTTTTCAAATGGATGTTAGCAGCTGCCATATATGCTATACACCCATAATCCAAGGAAAATCTCAATCTCTTGCTAAAATTATATAGTTTAACCACTGAAATCTGATCATTTCCTATCCAGAGCTTAACAACTATTGATTCATGATTCTGCCCTATTGATTCTACTTTATATCTTATACCATCTTGAACAAAAGTTGCCACCCACCCACCCTGTCTTTCCTTTCAATCATTCCTAATAATTATGTAACAAGGATTACAAAATCTAATTGGGGGTCAGGCCACATTTCTTGAATGCAAAACAAATGAGGCTTAATCATCAAATCAGAAATGTTTTTCTTAAACTCTAGGCCGCTCACATTCAGTGACATACAGGAGTTCTTTCAAGCTGGGCTCCATTTCATTTAAAGGAAATTCATTTTTAAAGGAGCTCGTTTCTCACATTTGCCATACCCATGATCCCCAGCACATCTCCCACACTTCTGTTTCCCCTTGCATACTGCCGCGACATGACCACATTTCTGACACTTGAAACACGGCAGTGGGGGAGAAATAAATGGTCGAACATCATAGCTCATATATTCCACAAACAGTTGTGGGATTTATGAGCTTAGTTGTCTTAGTTGTCTGGTAGAGATTTATGTTCAAACTTCAGCTTGATAGAAAGACTATCACTCCTTTCTCCATTTTTATTTCTTTTCAACCCTGTGACTTCAACTACTTTTCTTCCTGATTTATTAGATTTAATGTTATCAACTGGCACATCAGGAAAAATACCTGAAATGATGCTGCACACATACATTTTCACATAGGATTTTTTTATATTCAATTCCCTTTCTTTTTGCTTAATATCATTGCAAATAATCACCTCTCAACACTTTAACATATTTTGCTTTTCCAACCAGTGAGTTGATTTCTTTAGTAAGTTTAATTGGATTCCACTTATCAAAGGACACACCCTCTTTGACCGTTTTCAAAAGTATTTTAAACTCTGTCATCACAACTGATTCTCCTTCAGCCTCAGAGACAGACGATTCTGTATGTTGTCTTGATTTTTTGCATTTGTGTTTAGCTTTTGGAGTATACCATATTCCTTCATTTTCTCCGCCATCACAACCCTCATCCATTTCCGTGAGTTCACTTCCTGACACGTCATTTCTCTCTAAAATCTCTCCAACCATTCACAGCCTGGCACCTCCAGGGTTTTAATCACATTTCTTAACTTAATAATAATAAAGTAGGTTGACAGCAGAAATTATTATTTTTTTCTTTTTATTTTGAATATTGACAATAATGGCAAAGCAAACATGATTTCTTGAGAATAGAAAAAGCAAAAAAAAAACAACAACAAAAAAACAGAAGACATAGAATGAAAGCAGTGACAGTTTCAATACATTATTACTGTTTGGGTGAATCAGGTCAGGACTGGGAACACTGGTCTCTCCTCAGTGTCTCTGTGACTGCAGACTGGGAGCCCTGGGTGGCCTCACAGGTCACAGAGCCCACCTTCCTCCACTGGNGTTGTTTTCCATGATTATCCAAATGCCTTTCCACATCCTCCTGGTGTTGCTGTCCTCGTGGAAAAGATCCTGGATTCTCTGGCTGTGGTTCTGTTTGCTGATCTGATGGAACGGTTTAAGTTGGCACGCACTGTTCTCAATGCCTCTTTATCACCAGACTTGAAAGATGAGTTCTGTGCTTTTAGAGATTTCCGAACCTCTCCATTTATTCAGGGTGGTTGGTTGGCCGGGGTGGTGATGTTCTTTTTGATGCTGATGTCCTCAGTGCATTTGGTGATGTAGGCTGACACAGTCATAGCATACTCATCAATATTTAATAAGTTCTCATATGTTGCTGCAGCCTTGAAGATGTCTTGGAGTGTCTCCATGGCGCCCGCAGACAGCACTCGGAACTCTTTAACTGTCGGGTTAGTCCTGATCAGCTGGGGCTTATATGACGGGATAAGCATGAACGAGAGATGATCTGATGACCCAAGGTGGGGGCGGGGAGCTGCTCTGAATGCATCTTTGATGTTAGAGTAAACCAGGTCTAAAATGTTTTCACCCCGAGTTGCAAAGTCCACATGGTAAAAATGAGGGAGAACAGTCTTGCCTGTTAGCCTGGTTAAAATCCCCAGCGAAGATGAAAACACCCTCTGTGTGTGCAGACTGGAGCTCAGAGATAGCCTGGTATAGAGTCTTCATGGCTTCTTTTGTGTTAGTGCTGGAAGGCTCGTAAAAAGCAGTGATGCTAACCACACTGAAGTCTCTGGGTAGATAGAACAGTCTGCAGGTAACAGTTAGAAACTCGATGTCTGGAGAGCAGAAGCTGGAGACCGATCTAGCGTTCTTGCACCAGCTGTTATTAAAGTAAACACAGATCCCACCATCCCAAGCCTTACCGCTTAGTTCTTTGTTCCTATCGTCCCCTTTGTCTGGCATTGCTGGATGCAGCCATAACTCTGTCAAAATGATCACCCACAGCAGTTACTAATCTCCTTCTTTGACAAGAGTTACAGTCGAAGATTATCCATTTTGATTTCCAGCAAGCAGACTTTGGAGAGCGGGATTGATGGAAGCGGAGATCTGTGTGGATCTCTTTTTAGGTTCACAGTTAGCCTCCCCTCTACAGCCTCACTTTCTCCCTCTCATGCATCTCTTCCTTTGGCAGTTACGTTCCGCTGTTGTGTTGTTGAGATCCGTAGCACTCCGCAGCTTTTTAAACAGTTAAAAAATGGCAGTATTTAAAACATTTAGCTCTGGCAGGTGTTGGCGATCAAAGATGCAGGTTTGAAGTCTATTTTCTATTGCTTTAAGCGGCATATTCTTTGAAATTGCGAACAGGAGCTGTTCTTGGCCCCAGCTTTGAAGCACCACCATGGCAGCCAATGTTCCCAAAATTCGCAATGATCAATATATAAAAGATCTCTTTTGAGCACAAGCTATTACTGGAATCTCTAGTGTTGCAATTAGGGCTGGGTACCGAACTTCGGTTCTTTTATGGTACCGACCGAAATGCTTCGGTTCT